TTTTTTTTTTTATCATGTCTATATTTCCTGGTTACCTTCTATCGTAGTAATGATTTAAATTTATAATTGCAGGTAATCTCTCTATTTCTGCGATCGAATGGCAAGCAAACAACATGGAGCAGTAGATATTCTGTACAATCGTCCGCTGAGGAATCTTATGGTGTGCTATTACTTCTTATGATATTGTACTTGCAAGTAACTTCAGGATTATGTAAATATTACCACAATGTGCCAATGCTTTCCTAGGATGTATAGTCATCATGAGGATGGAGAATAAGACTGATTTGCTACCCACCAAAATATGGCTACTGAGTTTATTTCATGCATTTAGTATATTTTTCAGTATGGATATTGAACTTTGAGATTTAGACGTATGTTCCTTTTTTCCAATGTGAGTGTGACTGAAACTAGAATAATCCATGGTTTTCCAAATGAAATTTAAATTGTTTCACATATAGGATTCCATGTTTGCTTGTACGACAAATATGTTCTTTCAAGTTTCACATGATTCGTTTATGCTCCATGTGAGATTCTTCTCATAAATCATGGAAAGTATATTGAAGAATAAATAACAATACATATCCAAGGAAAGAAGAAAAAAATCTACAGATATTGGAGTGATGTTGGGATCTGGATTGATTGTCTTTTGAATATCATTGTTACCTTGTTTTTATATTATTATTATTATTATTATTATTATTATTATTATTATTATTATTATTATTATTATTATTATTATTATTATTATTATTATTATTATTATTATTACTTTGTCAGTTAAATATTAGTATAGGGTCTCTAGTAAAGAAGAGCAGGCAATAAGAACCATTGGGCAAAAGTAGATCTTGTTGGGTAAAAGTTCTGCTGCGAAACTTGAAGCTTTTATTATATAAAATTTCATATTTCATTATGGATTAAGAAAAAAGAATCCCATGTTTTTCATTTTGACACTTAACATGACATCTATAGCATAAGAGCTATGGAAGACCAAATATTATATAATTGGACTTGTGTAGTGATAAATGGGTCCGGGTAGAACTCATTCCAAACGCCAGCTCAAAGGGAGAGGGTGCCGTGCCCAACCCACACTTACATACAATAACAACCCAGTAACTAATCTATGTGGGGCCTGAAAAAAAAAAAAAAAAAACTTAAAAGATGTAGCATTAATGAGTGCCCCTATCTCGACGTGTTATTATATGTAATACTGTTTTCCTGGAGACTGACACTATAATATAGATTCCTTATAGCAACACTTTTGAACCTGACCTCCCCTATGATTGGTTTGTTGTTTTCTTTGTGCTTCCAAGGTGCCATTAAGAAACGAGGTTCCTGCTAACCATATAATGTCTCAAGTACGACCCATGCATTGTCATTTAATCTTCCATAAATCCAGAGCATAGCTATTAAAATGATTACATATGAAAGACATCAAATACAGTTAATTTGTTGTTAGAGATCACTGATCGTTGCCTATGGATACCTGAAACGAACATTTTCTCGGCACTGATTTCACAGTTTGAATGGGCAATAACATGTTTGATGGTTGAGTTTTTTACATTTCTGTCAAATCTGTATATCTCATGAATTTATTGAATATCTTTGCAGGTTCAGTTGTTTAAGCAGGGAATACAAGTACTTCTTTTGGAGAGAAAATTTAAACATTACAGTAGGCATCTCTTGTATGTGATTTGAACACATGAGCTTTTCATGTAATTGATTGCCTTGTTTCTTGAAGACTCCGACCAATGAAAAACTGTTGACCATGTTTGACAGTTAATGGAGATTGCAGGAATGAAATTCATTGGTGAACATGATTTCAGAAACTTTTGTAAGATGGATGCGGCTAATGTCCACAACTATAGGCGGCAAATCACATCATTTGAAATTATACCATGCAGTGAAAGGTTTAGAACTTATCATGAACCTTAAAGTGTTACTTTTTTTGTATTAAGTATATTTTATTATGATTTTTGCGTGGAATCTTGTTCATTTCATTTTTTATATAGTGTGCACGACCCAATGACAAAAATAATAAAATGCAAAATAGATGCAAAAATGGGATGAGAATAACTTCTTGAATGTTATATTCTATGTATTTCAGTTGGATCCTATTGGGAACTTTCCCTAGCCTTATAGAATGATGATTGGTTTTGTAGATTTTTTGGAGTATGAATGATAAAAAAATATAATGAAATGTTCTATGAGGTTACCATCTAATAGTCCTACATTCTGGTATATCTGGATTTATGTTGAATATCTCTGTATCAGGAGTGAAGTATTGTTCATCAAGTTCTAGTTTAATATTTGATACGTATTTATATATTTAAGTTTCATATTTTAGTTAAGTTATTTAATTAGGGCTAGAATAAGGTGATGGGTTGGGATTTCACTTTGGAATCCTAATTTGTTTTATTTAAGTACTATGGTTTAGTATCTAAGCCATCGAGAAAAGAATAGAGGCGCCTTTGGCTTAGGCAGGAGAAATCCTGATCGGCGTTCTCGTTTGGGGCTCGCCTGCCATTGTTTTGAGTTCTTCGTGTTCCTTTCGTTTTCAATTAATTGTCATTTTTAGTTTTGAATTTCTTCTCGCAATCCGCCCTTCACTCTTATCAGTGTTATTGTTATCCTTTTAGATTGTCTTGTCTTGGAACGTCCAATGATAGAATTTTTGTGATGCGACCTTAATCATTTGGTTTTATCTGTTCACTTTTGTTTCGGTCTCATCTGCTGCAGGTTTGAAGATGACGAACTTTGGGCATTGAAATTCAAAGGCAGCGCTTTTCTATGGCACCACATCCGATGCATGGCTGCTGTACTATTTTTGATTAGCAAAGGTCTCGAATCTCCAGATGTGCGTGGATATTTTCATCGTTTGAATTCTTAGTCACTTAGCTTTAAGTGTTTATGAATTCAGTTCATCATTTCTCATTTGCTGCAGTGTGTATAATGCTTTTGCTGGGCAACTTTTGTTGGTTTGTAATCAAGGTTTATCGAAGTTTATCTAAACTTTAGGTGATAGGTGAGCTACTGGGATATTGAAAGGACACCTATAAAACCTAAATACAGAATGGCCCCTGAGATTCCACTGGTTCTAAGGTCTTGCGAATTTGAAGGTCTCGAGTTTAAATGTTCATCAGGTAATTTGGGACCACAATTCAGTTAATTTATGTAGCTTTGCAGCTTGATTGTTGTTCGTCTTCTTCTCCACTATTTCATATGTGTTTGGTAATCATGCATCTGTTCATCTTTGATGGCATTGCCTGGTATTCTATGTTTCGAATTCGATTTTAGCAAACTACACCTTTTTGTAGTTTTTGTAGTGTTCAAGAACGAAACACTCCATATCATCTCCAAATATATACACTTAGGGGTTTGACCCTTAGTAAACTTTTCAAAATCTTATTTTCTCACATTTGTGTAACACTGGTAACTAACGAGGAGTCAATACTAAGGACTGATTTTGACGATGTGAAATGCTCGATGTGAAATAGAACAAATAACTTGTTGACTTATTTTCACGCTCTTGCAGAGTCACTAATGTAGCCACACAAGCTTGCATGCTCTTCTATTTTGAACTTCAAGTACTTTTATGGACTTGACTTACAGATGCTGCCCAAGCTCTTCGGGCTCACTTGGAGAAGGAATGCCCAAGTTATAAACTTCAAGCGGCAATCTTTCACGAAGCCCTGCTAAGTTCTTCTTGTGCCTCGTATGGTAAAAAAATGCTCATGAACAATGTTGATTTCCTTATCTGTTTCTTCTAGTTTTACTGCCTCACAGAAGTTCTGATTGCAGAAAATAATCAGCTATGTGGGAAGACAAAAAAGAAGGAATCTGCACACATTCCTCTATTTTCACGGCCAACTGAGCGTAAGTTTGGGCTATTTTCTAGACCACTGTGTACATAAAAATTGCTACTTTCACCGAATAATTCTGCTCTTCGCCTTAAAAAAAAAAAAAAAGCTGGCTTGTACTTACCTGTCCCACATTCATTTTTCCCAGTTCATAATTTGTGGACATGATGTTTGTTTTTCAACGGCGAACTTCATATCAAATGCCACGACTTAATCAATAAAGCAAAATGCAGCTGCTAACTTGAGTGGCTTGTGAAAGAAAATGAAAAAAAACTGTGTTATTGGTCTTGTATTGATGCTTTCATGCATCCTCGTGAAAGTTCAATTCCTCTGAAAGTAGAAAACACAATTTATTGACTGCCTCATATCATATGAATGTGGAGTATGATTCACATTTTCATTTGACCATATTTTGTTGAGCTTTCAGCCACTTACGAAGAACAACGTGCTAAACTGAAAGGTGGAGTTGGAAAGAAGACAAAATCAAAAACCTCTGTTCGTGGCAACTAAACGGTTCTTGCAACAGATATCCATTCGCTCAAAACATTTTGCTGTGCTGAGAATAGGATAATGAACGGGGCAGATAATGCGTGCTTGAAGTTCATCTCTCCATGTAAGTTCTGAGTTTTTGTAACAACACTAGTTAAACAGATGCTTGAATTTCGTGATCTCCATTGTAATTTGGAATGTTGGTCTCGATTTTTGTATTGGATGGCGTCTCAATTAAAACTAGTATTCTAGCTTGTGCACATGCACAGATACAAATAAAATTTTATATGTTATGTGTGTGTATATGTGATATTTAAAATCATAAGTTAGATAATGAGCTTAATCAGATTTTATAAATTTTATCAGTAGTATAAATGAACGATATAAATATAAACTATTACCTTACATATTAATTTTTATATTGATTGCAATAATATAATTTTTGCAATATTTGATGATTATGAACTTGAATAGATAAAAAAAATATATATATATATTAAAATTATTATTACTGCAATTGTGCACAAAATTTTTAAAGGTGTGGTTATATCCTAGAAAATAATTAACTAATATTAATAAGGAAACTTGGTTAATGCGTTAAAACAAAATAATAATAATAATAATAATAATAATAATAATAATAATAATAATAATAATAATAATAATAATAATAATAATA